CCCCTGATCCTTCCATTGGACGGGGGGACATTCCTGGGCCCTGCACAAAGCCAGCCCGCAATTCATCACCCAGCGCTGAGGACATCGGCAATGCGGACACGGCTCCTCGCCCGCGGGCAGGGAGGGAGGGCAGCCGGCGGGGGCTGAGCCGATGGCGTCAGCAGCATTCCCGCCATCTCCCGGCTCCGGTCACTGGGACAAAGGGCAGGGGATGCACCTGCTGTGGCCGCGGGCCGCCTGCCAGGAGGACCGGCTGGGACAGACGCTGCGGGCGGGGCGCGTCGGACCTTCGTCACCGGCACGCTGACACGGATTAGGGCGGAGATTGAATGTCGCCGGCGTCCACTGGCTCCGGGGGTCTGTTCCAACCACGGGCCGCGGGACCGAATGACAGCAGCACGGCCGTGACAGAATCCACGCCGGGCGCCCAGCGACCCTGCGCAGCCAGGAAGGGAGCCGGCCTGCGCAGTCCCCGAGGAGGGACGTTCTGGAGTCGGGTTTCTCTCCCCTTTGCTGTCTCCGTCACTTCTCCGTCAACATGGCGAGCCAACATGGCAAGCGAGAGGCGAGGGACAGGAGCGCAGGTGTCAGCATGGGAATCATCTGGGGTTTTAGGGGGCTGGCACGGCTGAAGCAGGAGGGAAGGACCCAGGAAACCGGAGGACCAGGAACCGGAGTTGAACTTCAGCTTTGCATACTTTGCATACGTTACACCCGGCTATCACACGGACAGAAGCTGTGTGTGGATTTGCTCGCTGCTTGGCAAGCACAGGGTCACCCCGTCGCCGGCGCCATGGAAAGCGATCAGTTGTGCAGAAGTCCTCCGGGACTGGCTCAGGCACCGTCACTCACTCGTAAAGGGAGAACGGACTTTCTCAAAGGAAAGTGCGAGCTGGGGGGAACCGCGTGGCTACTCGGAATCGGCTCAGCGAGTGTTGCTGGAATTTCATAAAAATCTTGTTCCTAAGTTCATTGGAGACGGCTCAGTACACGCTGCCAAGCCTGGGCTCTCGACAGAAGCCACATGATCTGAGAGTCTGCTCCGAGGCCCTGGTGCAGACAGAGGCGCGTGGCATCGCCAGGAGGTCCTGGTAGAGCTTCCGTGCGAAGAGCCGGGAAGAGGCAGCAGCCGACAGAAGTGTTGACCAGGCTCTGCTCCAACCGCTGCGGCTTCCGAGCCATCGCTCCCACTCTGGGCCTCAGGTCCTCGTCTCTGAGATGGAGCTCTTACACAGGCCCTTCTCATCCGGGCACAGGCAGCCACGTCTGCCACACGTGTCACGGCCTGGGGGGCAGGGGTGTGTCTGGCATCGAGCGGGTCCAGGCCAGGATGCTGCTGAGTTGAGAAACCTGGATTCCACTCAATTGGGCTCCGTTTCCAACAAGGTGGCATCAGGTCTGCAGGTACCATTCCAGCATCTCTCTTCCATTCCAGATCCCTTATTTGTAAACGGTCCCAAATTATTTATCTTCCATATGAATATAATTCTTACATATTACCCAAAGTATGTGGGCAGTAAGCACTTTCTAATGTTTAGAGCAACCACAACAGAATGAAGCTTCCCAGATCTTTGGCGACAGTGTCTTGGTGACTACTTACTGTGCAACTGGCGTCGCCTCGAAGTCTCCCCGAGGGGGACACATGCCCCGCAAGAGGCCTCCTTCACAGTGTGGGGGGATGTTCACTGAATAAGTGACTCATCCAATAATCTCTTTGGTGCTGAGAGAACACGGAGCGTGTGAGAGTCCTAGAGGGCGGGAACCGGGCGGGCCAGGCTGCCGCGGATGGCTGAGTCAGGACCACCCTGGGTCCCGGGGAGCGCAGGCAGGTTTTAGGGCCTTGGTCACTGTTTAACTCACCCATCCGTCAGGTTCCGACTCATCCTCCACCGGCTGCTGACACTGAGGAAGCCCCGATGGCTCTGATCCTCAGTGTCCTCGTCTGTGAACTGGGAGCACTCGCACCCACCCCGTGGGATGCTCTGTGGGTCAGGGGAGGGGGACTCACACCCACCCCGCAGGATGCTCTGTGGGTCAGGGGGACTCACACCCACCCCATGGGATGCTCTAAGGGTCAGGGGGACTCACACCCACCCCACGGGATGCTCTGCGGGGGGCAGGGGGACTCACACCCACCCTGCAGGATGCTCTGTGGGTCAGGGGAGGGGGACTCACACCCACCCCACGGGATGCTCTGTGGGTCAGGGGGACTCACACCCACCCTGCAGGATGCTCTGCGGGTCAGGGGAGGGGGACTCACACCCACCCCACGGGATGCTCTGTGGGTCAGGGGAGGGGGACTCACACCCACCCCGCGGGATGCTCTGTGGGTCAGGGGGACTCACACCCACCCCACAGGATGCTCTGTGGGTCAGGGGGACTCACACCCACCCCGCGGGATGCTCTGTGGGTCAGGGGAGGGGGGCTCACACCCACCCCGCGGGATGCTCTGTGGGTCAGGGGAGGGGGACTCACACCCACCCCGCAGGATGCTCTGTGGGTCGGGGGGACTCACACCCACCCCGCAGGATGCTCTGTGGGTCAGGGGGACGCAGCTCCGCCAAGGCTGCCTGGAGCCAGCACGGCTCGCTCGGCAGGTGTGAGCGTCCTGCTTCCCCTCCTCCCAGCGCGCTGTCTGCCATGGGCTGGGACACTGCTCTCTTCCTCTGGGTTTGTCCAGTGGCACTTGGGGTCAGAGCAGAGGCTGCTGGTAGAGGCCACGGTGCTAAGACCAAAGCCATAGACGGCTGTGTTGACTCTCAGGAGAAAACACAGGCCACCTCAGTCTCGCCACGTCAGCACGGCCACGGCCACGCGACTAAGTCTCCGCCTGTGACAGAGAGAAGGCCCTGGGTCGAGGAGACTGGGGGTTTCCGCTCATTAGACTGTCAGCTGCAGAGCTGGCAGACGCCGGGTGGGGCGGCTGTGAGTTGAGGATCTGGTTGAGGGATCACACATTCGCCAGAGGTTGGGCTGGGTGACATCTGGTCCTGCTGATGGTCCCCAGCTGGGGACAGCGTCCCTGCTGCCCCGGTGGCTGGGCCTCGCCGCAGAGGTGCCGACAGCGGCTTTCAGCGCAGTGTCAGGTCTCACGGAGCGCCGGCATCCTTGGAAGATAGTGTGAGACAAGGATAATTTGCGGCTAACAAGAGACTGACTAGAACATTTAAAAGAGAAGAGAAACAAGATGCCCACAGGAGTTATTGGAAAACTCTCCTATTCCCAGGACTCTCGACAGAGCAGGCTTCTGGGGGGCTTTCGAGGGCTGCGCTCCCGGTGCCTCTGGCCGGTCACTTCCCCAGCACCCAGCCTGGGTCTGTTGGCAGGAAGAAACCCCTGCCCACATCACTCCCTGGGGTTCCCAGCCAGTGTGCCTCCTCCCCCGCCCCCCGTCCAGTCATCCTATGGTTACTTCATATACGGTGTCCAGGGTGCTGAGTCGGACCCAATGGGAAGAATAAGGAAAAGTACATCTGCTCCAAGCGAAGTGGAGGTGACAGGTATGCGTTTCTTGCTTGACACTGCCTCATCCTTTCACTGGTTGGGATTACTTATCTGCCTTTATTTTATTAAAAATTTTTTTCATTTTCATTAGAAAATTTTCCTGCATCTAGAGAGCTACTGAGCAAAGAACAGGAAGCTTCTCCAAATTCAAGGCCACACCCATCTGTGCCACACCCATCTGGCCATCATCCGGGCCTCTTCTCCCCGCACAACCTTCCAATGGCTACAGAAATGAGCCACCGCTCCCCGAAACCAGCACTTTCAGTCTGTGACGCTTCGTCACCTCGGAAGCAGAGACCCCTGCCTGCCTGCCCTCAGCTGTGGCAAAGGCCACACGGGGCCTGACGGGTCCCCACGGGCACCCTGCTTCTTGCTTTTATTATTTCTTTTTTTTTTTTTTTTTTGGTTAATCCTCACCCAAGGATATTTTTCCATTGATTTTTAGAGAGAGTGGAGGGGCAGGGGAGATACAAAGAGAAACATCGGTGTGAGAGAGACACTCCGATTGGTTGCCTCTTGCATGCACCCCGACCAGGGCCCGGGAATCTACAACCAAGGTACTTGCCTTTGACCGGAATCAAACCTGGGACCCTTCAGTCCGCAGGCCAACACTCTATCCACTGAGCCAAACGGGTTAGGGCTGCTTCTTGCTCTTATAAGCCGGCGGGGCTCGGTGGTTGAGCATGGAACTATGAACCAGGAGGTCACAGTTCAATTCCCGGCCAGAGCACATGCCCTGGTGCCAGGCTGGATCCCCAGTGGGGGGCGTGCAGGAGGCAGCCAATCCATGATTCTCTCTCATCAGTGATGTTTCTATCTCTGTCTCCCTCTTCCTTCCTCTCTGAAATCAATAAAAAACATATTTTTTAAAAAAAAGTAGAACTAGAAAACCCAGACGAAAACTCAAACGAGCAGCCACAGCGCGGAACCAGGGCGCGTGCATTGTTTGTAGCAGGAGCCCGGGGTAGAGTCTGCAAACCTCCTTCATGCAGACCAGGCTCTGCCCCAGTCCAGGGCTCAGGCGGCACCAGGCGAGCAGCCTGCGCATCCCCAGCCCCGGGAGGAAGGGGGCCGAGCGGGCGTGATAGGAAAGTGTTCCTTCCCCGGACACTTAGGTTAATGGGGAAAGATTAACAGGCCAGCGGTGTGTGAGCGCTCAGATTTCTCGCCCGGGGACACAGAGCGAGGATTGTTTGTGGTGCTGGTAGGAGGCAGTGGCCAACTCGGCGAGAGCGGTGTTGCAATCGACACATCTGGCGGTTACTGGCTCAGGGCACGGCAGGGCAGCGGTCAGGGGAGCAGCGGGACCAGCACCCGTGGAGGAGGCACGGCTGGAGGCCGGGCCTCGAGCAGGGCTGTACCAGAGCGGCTCTCTGAAGTGAGCTCACGCTCACACTTGGACTTTTGGTCTGAGCTGTGCTGAGCTGGCCGCAGCCTGGCGGGGGCATTCGTGGCCGCCCAGGAAGCGTGTCGGACCCCGCCTGCCCGCAGCCACAATGCCCACGGTGGACGAGGTGCTCGCGCACGTCGGGGAATTCAACTTCTTCCAGAAGCAAACGTTTCTCCTCCTCGCTCTGTTCTCGGCATCGTTCCCCCCCATCTACGTGGGCATCGTGTTCCTGGGCTTCACCCCCGAGCACCGCTGCCGGAGCCCGGGCGTGGCCCAGCTGAGCCAGCGCTGCGGCTGGAGCCCGGCTGAGGAGCTGAACTTCACAGCGCCCGGCCCGGGGCCCGCGGGCGAGGCCTTCCCCCGCCAGTGCCTCAGCTACGAGGTGGACTGGAACCGGAGCAGCCTGGACTGCGTGGACCCGCTGGCCGGCCTGGCCGCCAACAGGAGCCTCCTGCCGCTGGGCCCCTGCAGGCACGGCTGGGTGTACGACACGCCCGGCTCCTCCATCGTGACCGAGGTGAGTGAGGCAGGACTTAAACCAAACGCAAATAGTGCAATAAACTGATTGAAAATAGACCCAGAGCCACAGAAGCGCGAACAGACTGTTGAACCTCAGAGGGGAGGCAGGAGAGGTGGGAAGAGATCAACCAGGGATCTTGTCTGCATCTATGCATCTCCCGTGGGCACAGACAATGGGGAGGGGAGGGCGGGTGGGGGGTGACGAGAGCGGGCTGGAAGAGGTTAATGGGGGGAAAGGAGAACCTATGTAATAATTTCAACAATAAAGATTAAAAATTTTTTAAAATAGTGTAGCTTTTCTTATGGAAGAAGCCAGTAAGGCCCACGCATGCTCCTTGGACTCAGGGTATCTTAGGAAATCCCGGTTTCTGACAAAAACATGCAGCCTCTTATTTGTCTGGAGTGTGAGTGGATTAGCTAAAACCCGGGTCAAATTCGATCATGATTCTCATTTATGCAACTCCCAGCTGTAAGAAACAAGCAAAGGCCAATGACAGTTCCCGGAAATAATGCCAGGGAAGGGAAAGATTCAAGCCTCCTCTCCCTCTGGCCGCCCTGCCTCCCCCTCCACTCCCCCATCCCGAGGAGGGTCCCCTGCGAGCCTGCGGGCCCACCTGAGCGGTGCCTGCCGCACTCGCTGCACTGCTCTTGCTGGCCAGCTGGGGTGGGAGCTGATGCGACGGTGCCCTTATGTTACTAAACACCAGAGGCAACATCAGCATCTAATTGCAATCTAAGCTCATTTCAATAAATATAGAGGAAACAAAAAAATAGAGATGTGCTCTTCCTAGAGGCAAAGTAAAATGGAGGGGGGGGGGGGGCAATTATCCCGAGAGCACAGAGCACAGAGCGTGCCGCTGCCTGGCGCCATGGAAGACTGGGTGGCTCGTGTGGACAGACCTTGAGCGCGAGGGGCCTTGTTTAAGGGCCTCAGATGGTCTCGCAGTTGCATGAAACGCTGAAGGTCACAGAGTTAGCCCCACACAGCGCTGAGGCTTTACAGGGGCCGCACTCCGCCCTTCCCGCAGAGATGAGGAATCAGGCCCTGAGCCCGGGAAAGTTTCGCCCAGGCCGCAGCGTGAGAGGATTAGCGGTCAGCCCCAAGCGGGATCGCCTGCCTTCCAGGCCAGCACCCGGCCCTTCTCCCACACTCCCTCCTGTTCCAGAGAGAGCCAGTGTCACAGCCTCAGCAAGACGCCCCCAGTCAGTCCCCCAGACATCAGCAGGGTGGGGAGCGTCCAGCCCGAGGGCCGTACAAGGCCCTGCCAAGGCATCAGGGGTGAGTTCTAATTACATGTTTGACCAAATAGAGCAGGCTACTTTTAAAGTTGATTTTAACTTTGTATGGCCTGCGAAGGATGTTATAAATATCCAAATGGGCCCTGGCTGGTTTGGCTCAGTGGATAGAGCGTCGGCCTGTGGACTGAAGGGTTCCAGGTTCGATTCCGGTCAAGGGCACATGCCCGGGGTGTGGTCTTTATAAATAAATAAGTAAGTAAATAAATATCCAAGTGGCCCTTGGCAGAAAAAAAGCCCCCCCACCCCCGCACCTTCCCCCCTTCCCGCCCCGACCCTGGCCTTAAAGAGACAGCAACGAGACGAGGAACAACCCAACCTACTCCAGGCAGCTTCTGTGTCCTGTTCACACACCTATGTGTACACTAAAATTAGAAAGGGAAATTGTTCTGTGCAGAAATGAAGTAACCACCCGACTTCAGATGATGTAGCCAGCAACGGAGTTTAGCCTAACGACCTACTGCCAGGCGGGATGCTAAACAGACTACGGGACAGATCTTTTGGTCGTGTGGGGAAATTAACACAATGGCAAGAAAAGTGGGTTCCTGCCTCCCGGCCCATCCACCCCACGCCAGGGGCACGAGGGCAGCTCCCCGGGCCGAGGCGGGTCTGACCGTTTGTTTCCTTTCTCTCCGGACGCGGGACCCCTCCGGCCCCTCGGCAGTTTAACCTGGTGTGTGCCGACTCCTGGATGCTGGACCTCGTTCAGGCGGCCGTGAACGTGGGATTCTTTGTCGGTTCCATGGGGATCGGCTACATAGCAGACAGGTGAGAGGGCGGGTAATGGATGGTTTGACCCAAGTCCTTCTTCCTCACCATCCACCCGGGCGAGGGGAGGGGGAGAGAAGGAGGGGAGGGGAGGGGGAGAGAGGGAGGAAAGGTGTCGAGAGGCTGGGCCACCAGCAGCTCCATCCACCACACCCTTTCTGAAACTATGTGCTCAGCTCCTTTCAAAGGCTGCCCCTGGGACTCCGTGGGAGCCCATGAGGCAAAGAGGAAGGCCATCTGCTTTTATTTCATGGCCTCAGAGCTGAGGATGGCTGTTTGGAGATGACCCCGTAAGTCAGGAGAGCCGCGCTGAGGGGAGGGGCAGGTCCAGAGTCCCCTGGGCTCCTTCCAGTGCGTGGCCCTCCTGCTGGCTCCTGGCCCCCTCTCCGCCTCCCTCGCTGGATGGTGCAGACACTGACACTCGCCCCGACAGAAGGGAGCAGCTAGGTGGCTGCGCCTCGCGGCTGGTTAAGCGAGCGAGTTAATGATTCTCATCCCACCCAAGGCAGGAGACGGTTCTAACTCTCCTGACACTGCATTCCTGGGCGATCATCCCATCATCCACCTTCTGTGTGGCCTCATTACTGTTCGTACTTTCAATCCCGGGTAGAGCTGATTACTCACGGCTCTCCCTCAAGATGCTGGTCCTTCCTTACCACTGGACCTTCTTTTCTTTTTTCTTAAATTGTCTGAAGTTCTGTTGGTTTTGCCTCTTTTTCTGTTCTATTTGTGTGTGCACGTAAGAGTGTGTGATAAGATAACCACCCCCGGGCTCAAAAAAAGGCAATTTACATATTGCATACTTAATGCCTATTTCTGAACAATTTTCAGATTTATACAAGAATCTCATGGAAATCTCTTTTATGCGACAGAATAAACCAACATTAAATAGATTGTTTTCTGTGAGATTTTTTAAAAATATGACCTGACAGATAATTACAGCGTCTTTTCAAAGAAAACCAGGGATGGGGGAGGGGGAGATTATGAAAAAGTTGTAAGTAAGAATACTGAGTCTGACACCAAGTCAACTCTCTGGAGGTCAGCTTTGCAAATGGAAAGTGGGAAGGAAAGAAAACAGGTGGGGGAAGGAAGGAAAAGGGAGGGAGGACTGAAGTTAGGGAATTTGAAAATAACCTCTCTGTTAGGTATCTAATTTGTTTCATCACCCACGACCTCCCGAAGAGTGGTTTTGAGGATCACCTGACCCCAAAAAGGAATCTCTCACCAAGTCCAGGTTCCTTGTTCCAACAATCACTCATTCCAAGTGCTGCATCGAGCGGTGTGCGATCCGTGTCAGACAACTGGCTCTGAGGGGAAAGGCCCCGATTTGCAGCACTTGCTGATGGCCCTGGTGTGAATACTCCCACATGGCCCACCGCAAGCTACCGAGCTGAGGCCACTGAGCACAGGGTTGGCTGGAGCCAGGCACCGTCCTGTGTGCTCCCACCGCACACACAGCAGAAAGTCACAAATAACCTCCTGAGCATCTATAATGGTCAAACACCGCCACATACTGGGAATCGATGCGTTTTACATATTGATTACACGTGCTTATAAGTGTAATTTACCTAATTATAAGCATATAATTTAACTTTGATGGCTGTTTAACAGTGAGCTCACAGCGTGTCTGAAAATATAACAGTGAGCTCTCAGGAGCCGGGGCCTCCCAGAATGGATGGAACTGGCTCAAAGCAGAATCAAGGTCCCCATGGGCCCCAGCCAAATTACCCAACCACGTGGACGCTTCCAAGTCGAGGTCTCCTATGTGCCAGTCGCTGTGGTGGGCACCCCCACACCTCGTATCTCAGTCAGGGTCAGGACAGCCTTCAAAAGGAGAATTGAGGCCCCGGCCAGGTAGCTCAGTTAGTTAGAACGTCATGCAGATACACCAAGGTTGCAGGTTCAATCCCTGGTCAGGGCACATGCAAAAACCATCCAATGCATGCATAAATAATCATCCAATGCATGCATAAATAACCATCTAATGCATGCATAAATAATCATCCAATGAATGCATAAATAACCATCCAATGCATGCATAAATAACCATCCAATGCATGCATAATCATCCAATGCATGCATAAATAACCATCCAATGCATGCATAATCATCCAATGCATGCATAAATAACCATCCAATGCATGCATAAATAATCATCCAATGCATGCATAAATAACCATCCAATGCATGCATAACCATCCAATGCATGCCTAATCATCCAATGCCTGCATAAATAATCACCCAATGCATGCATAAGTAGAACAACAAATCGCTGTTTCTCCCTCTCTTTGTGTCAGATTTGACCATTCCCAATTTTGCAGGGGAGCAAACTGAGGCTCAGTGAAATGAAAGCCGTGCTTCCCCAACTTTAATGTACAGATGACCCCCGGGGACCCTGAGAATTTAGACTCTGGAAGAATGACCCTGGCCCTCAAACCCTCACAGCGAGGGACTGGGCGGTGCCCTGGTCCTGGGTGAATGGGCTTCTGTGCCTAAAACGCACGCAGAGTCACAGGTGGAAAGTCTGGACCAGGGCCCACCTGAGCGGGCTCTCGCCCATAATTCAGATGTTAGAGCTCCGTGACTTCCATGACTTTCCACAACCTTCGCGCATCTAATCTCACCCTCTTCGCTCTCCTTGTTTGCTCCTCGCAGGTTCGGCCGCAAGCTCTGCCTCTTCCTTACCATCCTCATCAACGCTACGTCGGGAGTTCTCATGGCCGTTGCCCCGACCTACCTCTGGGTGCTACTGTTCCGCCTGGTCCAAGGGCTGGTCAGCAAGGCCAGCTGGGTGATCAGCTACATCCTGAGTAAGATGCTGTGACTGCAGCGGGGAGAGCGCAGGGTCGGTGCTGCCAGAATGCAGGCAGGTGGTGGGTGGAGGCACAGGGACCCGCCTTCCAGACAGCGCCCAGACGGGTGTCTTTTCTGCGTCAAGAGTTCCTAAAATCCTGTCAGTCCGCTCAGCGTGCGTTCCTCCAATGGGAACACAACGGAGTTGGCTGCGAGGCTCAGCACCGCGCCATCGGCTTCTTACGTAACTCCTTAGGAATCTGTTTTCTGTGCCCTGGGGTAGGACACGGAGAGAAAATCTAGCCTGCGAGGCCGATCCATGAAGAAAAGCGGGGCTGAGAGCTGCGTTAGGTTTATGAGGGACTTTAAGACTTTGCCGAAAGCCATTCCAGCAAAGCACAGTTAGCCTCCATGGACATGCGAGGAGGCTGAGAACGCGAGGGCTTGGCCGGTCTAGGCTCCCCAGCCCGCGGCAGGGCCAGGAGCGTCACTTACATCCGACTCACCAGCAGCCAGACTTGGGCTTCCGCTCCATGGGGTGCAGGAGAAGGCTTGGCTTCTAGAAGCACAGCATCCTCAAGGCGGCATCAGAACAAATGCCCACCATCAACAGGCCCCGGGCATTGCTTTCCCTTCAGCGACCTTGGAACAGCACCCAGGCACAGGGAGGGGGACACGTGAAACTGAAATAGCAATAGCAAAGCTCTCACGACGCACGAGAGACCTAGACTCCGTGCCTGAAACTCTACCTGGTCGCACAAACTTGGGGGTTCTGGGAGATGGAGGAAGGAGGGCGCGGGGTACTGTTGGCTGCCTGTCCCGGCAGCCACCTAACGACGTTTGGGCCACAGAGGAATTCACGTACCCAGTTATTCGAGCGGTAATTTGGTTGCAGGATACGCAGTATGTAGAACTGTGTGGAAGTCGACGGTGGGAACTGAAACGGTTTCAGCCTCCGCTCTGCTCTTGCCCATCCCTCGGCACGGCCTGCGGGAGGCCTGCCTGTGGAGGCAGCTTCTGTGGGGGATGGGCATTTCTCCTTAGGGAGCACTCGCCTCCTCTGGTTGAACTCTGCTTTAAGGTGCTTTGGGGTCATTCACAGTCATTGACAGTGTTTTTAGGGTGCATTTCTGTTTGGTTTATAACGGGTTGAAGTCTTCGACACAATCCCCAAACGTTTTAAACAGAAACTCTGTGGCTCATGGAGTATCTCGAATTTCAATTCTAGTCCGTTTGCGATATGGGAATAACTACTCCCTAAATTATTGTAGCGCAGATTCCGTACGCCTGCCGTGATGTAGTCACGGCGGGGAGTGAAGCTGACTATTTTAGCACACGGTGGAGGGGGTGCTGGTGAACCGGCCCGTGGAAAACGAAAAACCATGATTTATAGTGTTTTCCAACCTCTGAGTTATAAATACTCCCACCGAGACAGATTTTAAGGTGCCAGTGGGTTTAGCAACCAGCTTTCAAAATTCCAGGAAATTTAAACACCAGTGTGTGGGAGCCGGTACCCGCTGACTCCAGGCAGGGGAATCCACCGCGAGCTTTTCGAGCCATGGACACACATTAACAGGGTTGCCAGGAGAATGTTTAACTCGCGTAGAGAACGCGTTACATGGAGGCATTCATTTACATAAAAGCCACCTACCACCTGGATTCAGCGCTAGACTCATTCCAGTGTTGAATTATCACTGCCTTCATTCCTCTACATCAAAACTCCGCATGGATCAGAAATACAACTGCCTCTACCCTTGAGATTATTCTGGAAATCAAACATGTTGCTCACCACCCCATCTAATGTGGGATTATAAGATTTTTACATGAATTAACACCATAGCAATCATTCTAAAACAGGCCTCAAGGAACAATTTAAAGTTTCAGGGAGCTGTATAGAAAGGTCTAGAATTTGGACGACACTGTGAGGTTGGCATTCTGGCTTGGGCGTGGTCGGCCAGCCAGCGGCCTGCTGTCCCGGCTCGCTGACCACGTGGCTCTCTCTGCAGTGACGGAGTTCGTGGGGCTGAGCTACCGCAGGGCCGTGGGGATCGCTTACCAAGCCGCCTTCACCGTGGGGCTCCTGGTGCTCGCGGGGGTGGCCTACGCGCTGCCCCACTGGCGGTGGCTGCAGTTCGCAGTGACCCTGCCCAACTTCTGCTTCCTGCTCTATTATTGGTACGTCTGTTTGGAGGAACAAGGAAACCGGTTGCCATATGTTTTCTCTCCCTCCCCTGACACGCACCATCCCTTTGCTGCCCGGGGCCCTTCACTCCTGTCCCACCGCAGGCCCGGCCCACCGCATAGCTTCCCGGGCGCCTGCGGGGTGTTCCCTGGGCTGTGCAGCCTCTGCCTGACTCCATTTCCTCTGGAGGTGCCTCGCTGAGCGAGGTTCCTCACGGAAATCTGGTGTGGCCGTGGGGGGCAGGGCCGGGGGGGTTCTCCTCCGCTAACGCACTGTTGACACTGGCACGGAACCCAGGTGCGTGCCCGAGTCCCCGAGGTGGCTGCTCTCCCAGAACAGACACGCCGAGGCCATGCAGGTGCTGAGGCACATCTCCAGGAAGAACGGCAAGGCCATGCCCACGGGGCTCCAGGTGAGCAGAGCTGGTGCGGGGTGGGGGGGGGGGCGGGGGGGGGGGGGAGTGGCGGGGGGGGCGGCGGGGGGGCGAGATGAAGGACGTGGAAAACCCGGGCCATCAGAGGGTGGGAAGCATGCTCACCTGCAGGGGAGGTGCCATGACCATAAACAGGTGGGAAGCATAAACCCTTTTAGTTTTAGGAAACCAAACAGCCCTTTGCAAGTCACATGAGAAGCTTCTGCTGAGGCACCTCAGGCCTGTGCTGCCCCCTCCCCCACCCCTGCACCCAACCCCCGACCCCGACCACCCTCTCCCCACCCCGCCGTCCCGCCCATGTCTGCTTCACCTGTGCGTCTGCCTGCATCCCCACGGAGGGAGGCCCCCTAGAGGGAAGATTCCCAGATCAGGAAAGCGGATTTTCCAACACGATGGATCATTTCTTAGAATTCAAGACAGTGGGTAGGAAGTGTCCAGCCGTTCTGAGCAGCCTGCCTTCTCGCGCGGAGTGGGGGCTGGAGGCCGCTTCCTCTGCCTTGCGCACTGCCTCCAGCGGACTCACCTCTTTACTCGCACCTCCATCCCACAGGGGCTGGGAAAGGGAGAGCGAGCTTGTTAGGCAATCGTGTCGAAATCAGAGTCAATCATTTCTGACTGAGGAGCTGAGACAGGTGACCCGGCAGCATCTGAGGTTTCACAGGACGTTTCCCATGGGGACTTGGGGCGCAGGCCTTCCCCCGCTTCCCCTCTGGTTTCGGGGGGCTGGGATAAATCCCTCCCAGCAATGCCTGGACAGCCCCGGTCTTAGGTTTTGGGTCCCTGCGGAGATGGGTCAGGACCGAAACACGTGTGGGCTCCAGCCTGCCAGAGGTCACAGCTCACACCCGCGATGAAGTCTGGTCAGTGCTGGCCGAGGGAGGTTTCTTCCCCTCGCTCCTCGGTCTCTCACGCCGTCGTGTGGCCCCGATTCCCCCATCGGGCTTTGCCTAGATCGCGCCCCTTTATGTCTGTGCCTGGGTCATCCTGGGACTCCAGCTTCCTCGCCTGGGAAATGGGTGGGACCCCAGAACCCACTCCCAGGACAGCTGTAAGCTGGGAGGAGCGAGGGTGTGTGACGGGCTGAGCCAGTCCTGGCGGGACAGGCGACTGCTGCTCCCTCCCGCCCTCAGTGGCGCAGGGACACGGCCGCTCCACATACAAATGGTTCTCGTGTGTCTAGTGCCTCAGACCCGATGAGGAAGTCGGCGAGAAGCTGAACCCTTCGTTCCTGGACCTGGTCCGAACCCCGCAGATAAGGAAGCACACCTTGATCCTGATGTACAACTGGTAAGGAATGCTCTTCCTTTAAGATCCCTGCAGCCCAGCCGGCGTGGCTCAGTGGCTGAGCGTCAACCTATGAACCAGGTCACAGTTCGATTCCCGGTCAGGGCACATGCCCGGGTGGTGGGCTCGATCCCCAGTGTGGGGCGTGCAGGAGGCAGCCGATCAAGGACTCTCTCTCTCACCATTGATGTTTCCATCTCTCTCTCCCTCTCCCTTCCTTTCTGAAATCAATACAAATATATTTTTTAAATAAAACATAAATAAAACCCTTCTAAATTCTTTCAATCCAATCATTCACTTTGTGGAAGGGAACGAGATACCTTCCAACACGGCCTAGTGCCAGCGTTCGTGTGGACGGGCACAGCGAGGTGGGCCCGTTGACAGCGGTTTCCCTGGCGTCATCCTCCTCAGGCAGATTTGGCGTCAACTTCCCGTTCCAAAGCCCCGCAGGACGGTCCCAACCTTGGCTTCACCTTGGAATCACCTGGGAGGCTTTTAGATATCAAGGCCAGACCCCTCCCCGCCAAGGATACTGTTGAATTCATCGGGAGAAGGGCTTGGGAACCACCGTTTTAAAAACATGCAGCCCAAACCGAGAGCTCCTGGTACAGCTCAGCCGATGACGCCGTCGCTCTGTCCTGACAGTACAGGGCTGGCCGGGAAGGGCCTTTGCTCTGTCTCTTCTTCCTGGAGAAGTCACTTTAGAACAAGAATGAGCCACAAGAATAAGCCAGTGACTTGGGCCTGACGGCGCCCACTGCCTGCAGGTTGCCCTGAGGGCTGAGCCGCCGCTCCGCACCAGGCCCTCCTCCCAGTGCCCACGCGCTGACTCACACCAGCACCTGAAGAGCCACAGTCACTGGCACAGCAAAGCCTGTGGGGAATTAGTTAAGCACCTTCGCCATATTGCATGAAAAAAATGCAGCCGTGAAGTTTGGCCTCGTTCTTCTTCTTTCTTTAATTGAATAATTGCAGCTCTTGCAAACTGTCCTCATATTTCCCATGAAGACAATGGACACTTTCAGTCAACACACCTAGAAACAGTGTCAAAATATTCCTTGCATCACAGCAGGAGAAGTCATTAAGAAGAGAGCTGTGCCCATGGGCCCCTCCGGCTTCCTAAACTGTGAATGAAGCCATCAGTCCTTTGATCCCAGTTGCATTAGGAGGCCACCGAGAAGCACCAGCCACTAAGGACCTGCAGAGTTTTACTAAATAAATCCCACTCCCATGTCTTCTTGCCTTTCCAACGTGGCCAGGGAATGCGCTCCTAGGTTCTCCCTGTCCTGGTGCTGAGGCCACAGCGGGCCGCCACCTGGTCAGATAGTGAAAAAGCAATGGGTGGAGGGAATCTATCTATAGAAAACCCTAATATGCAAATTGACCAACTGGTGCTATGACGTGCACTGACCACCAGGGGGCAGACGCTCAATGCAGGAGCTGCCCCCAGGCCGCAGGCCCTGACCAGCGATGGTGGGGAGTGGGGCCGGCAAGCAGGCGGCACCAGGCCAGCCAAGGCAGGTGCGAGCGGGGACCACCCCAATTGCCCTGCGGGTCGCCCCACATGGGGAAGGCTACTGGCAGTGGCAGGGGGCAGGGCTGGTGAGCTGGCAGCACCAGTCCAGTCAAGGTGGGTGCAAGGAGGGCCCCGATCACCCCGCCGATCACCCCACAGATCAGCCCTAATTGTCGGCCAAGCCTAGGGACCCTACTGTGCACGAATTTCGTGCACCAGACCTCTAGTAGTAGTAATAAGATGACAAAGGAAGGGTGACTTACGGCCAACCCCGATTTTCCCAGAAGCCCCCCTCCCGTGACTTCTCCTCCAGCCTTGACCTGAGCTCTCCTCTTGGCCCAGGTTCACCAGCTCTGTCCTCTACCAGGGCCTCATCATGCACATGGGCCTCGCAGGGAGCAACATCTACCTGGACTTCTTCTACTCCGCCCTGGTGGAGTTCCCAGCCGCCCTCCTCATCATCCTCACCATTGACCGCATTGGCCGCCGCTACCCCTGGGCTGGATCCAACATGGTGGCGGGGGCGGCCTGTCTGGCCTCGGTTTTTATCCCTGAAGGTAAGTGTCAGGCCAGGCGAGGATCTCGCTCGCCAAGATCCTAGGAAGAGGGGTACCACAGCCCTCTGAGAGGGAGACCACGTAATTTATCACCCAGATCGAGGTGGAATGAACCCAATATCCAGGAACTTCATGACAAACACATATGCCTTTAAGTACACTCACAACCCCCAGCTGGAGTGGCTCAGTGGCTGAGCCTCGACCTATGAACCAGGAGGTCAGGGTTCGATTCCCGGTCAGGGCACATGCCCAGGTTGCAGGCTCGATCCCCAGTGTGGGGTGTGCAGGAGGTAGCTGATCAATGATTCTCTCTCATCACTGATGTTTCTAATTCTCTCCCTCTCCCTTCCTCTCTGAAATCAATAAAAATATTTTTAAAAAAAAAAGGACACTCGCACCCAATGGTTGCCTGCCATAGTATAATGACACCCAGTTGTCCTCTGATGGGACAGGAGGGCCATGCTACAAGCCATCTGGCCGCCCGGAGCACAGGGATGGGCTTTGGGTGAGGAGGCCCAGGGTTCAGTCTTACCCAGCACGTCCCAGACACTATTCAGGCAACTCCCGTGACTTCCCCACATCATCCTGCGAAACTAATGAGCAACCCTGAGTGACTGCTGCCAGCGAACAGGCCTCCAGCTCCGTTCTTTCCTCTCAAAACACCTTCTCAATGAGGGGGAGCGAAACCTGTCCAACAGAGTCCTCTCGCACATGGAGCCTTGCCTGAACCCTTCGGTCATTAGCAACTGTTTCTCTCATGTGACTCTGTAGACGAAAGTTGGCCGCCTTGGCCACGGGCAGAATTCTGTTGTCACTAGAGACGGAGCTCTCGGGTGAAAAGCGTGTTCGAGTTGTGTCTGAAGTTAAACAGACATGAGCGCCGGCCGGCACTGCCTTGACCCTGGAGAAGAACCAAGTTTGCTCTCTTGTCCCTCACTGGCCTGTGGGCTGTCCCCCGCCCACTCCCCCACCGCACCCCACACGTTCAAAGCCAGGGGTGTGCACATGTGTGTTTCCCCTCAGACCTGCAGTGGCTGAGAGTCACAGTCGCCTGCTTGGGCCGCATGGGGATCACAATGGCCTACGAAATGGTTTGCCTGGTCAACACGGAGCTGTACCCCACGTTCATCAGGTGAGCCCCGGCGTCCCTGCATGTGGGTGCTGCTTGGCTAGAAGCACGGGTGCCAGCAGCAGACGCCTCACTGCCGGAAACGCAGGTCAGAGAGGGTGGGCGCCTTCCCGGGCAGGAGCCCGGTCACAGCCCACGCCAGCAGCTGGGGGGGGAGGGGGGGGGACAGAGCCTGAGCTGAGACGAGAGGCACTGCATCGAGAGAGGGTTACCTAACGGCCCCGGGACCGGGACTGAAGCCACGGCAACGGGCTAGAGAAACGGGGACGCCAGGGTGAAAGCAGAAAGTGAAAATCACCCCCAATTTAAAGCTTTCAAGAACGTTAACAGACAACAAGTGTAACAGAATACAAAGGAAATGTGTGCCGTGTGTCACGTGTGTGAGCTGAGAATACCGTGAAGGCCGTTCCCAGGCCACAGGCACCTCCGTGGTTTGGGGGGCTGTGTCCGTGAGGGTGGGCTGGGGACACGGCTGCTCTGGGAGAAAGTGAAAGGGCAACCCCGCTCTCTGCTGCAGGAACCTCGGGGTCCTCGTCTGCTCCTCCATGTGCGACATTGGCGGCATCCTCACGCCCTTCCTGGTGTACCGGCTCACCGGCGTCTGGCAGGAGCTCCCCCTGGTGATTTTCGGTGAGAAACCCTCTGAGGTGTCTTTGAATGAAAACCTATTTTTCTAGGGGCCTCCGTTCTTCGACCTCAAAACAGGTGCCTGTGAGTAACAACTAGCACGACTAGTAATGAGTGGCACTACCAGCGTTAGTTAAACTCGTGTTAGTAAAACCAGGATGAGCGCTCCTGTCACAGCTGCCATGGCTCCAGTGCGGGAGCCATCAGTCCTCCTGCTCGCAGAGGCCCAAAGTCAGTGTCAGACCTCGAGGCGGGAGGACGCTCCCGGCAGGAGCCCCGCTCTCTCCTCCTGCTCCGCCCTCCGCGATCTCCCCGGCACAGGGCTCCCTCTTTCTGCCTCCGCTGCAGGCAGATGAGGAAAACACAAACCCTCCATGGCACCACTTTGAGGAAAGGCTGTTACAATGTTACCAGCCTAAAGCATCTTAATAATAAAAGGTTAATATGCAAATGGTCAGCACGCCGTGACACCGTAACGACTGATCGGCAGGGACCTGAAGCTGCGTGGCGCCGAGCCCGGGCAGGGGACCTGAGCCCCCACCCCCCGAGGCTGCACCCCCCCACCTTGGCGGGGCTTGACGGGGGTGGGGCCAGACAGGTCTTGGTGTCACCTAATGGAGGTGGGCCAGCCAGATACTTCTATTAGAGAGAAAGGGCCAATAGCAATATTAAAATATTTCCTCTAATTAATTCCCTTGTAATGTGCATGAATTTCATGTACCGGGCCACTAGTACAAATATAACCTTAGCTCCCAAAACTTTAATGGGAATTTAAAGACACAAAAACACTACAAGTTTGCTACCCACCCCCACCACCACTCCCAACATATACAAAAAATTAGAGCTGGAGACAAAGCAAAAAACAAAAACAAAAATGTATGAAACACCTGAATTCGTCGAAATCCAAGTCCCAGCTATGCTTTTGAAAGCTGTTACATACACAGTAACCCTTTTAAAAGCAAACTATCACTTTATTTGCCAGTAACAATCCAGGTTTCTGACTCAGTTTTCCTCGCTAAGTGCTTTGTGTTGGCAGGGTTCTGTTCTTGCTTTTCTTAGAGTTGTTTTTTTTTTCTTTTACAGCTATTTTCTAACTCCAAAGTATCTTAATATTATGGCAAGGTTCTCGCCTAGAATAAACTCGACTCAAATGTGAGTTGCAGAGTTTCACTTCCCTACAAGGAATTGTACTCCAGCGGAGTTTGGGATCCGCACAATATTTATGGTGGAGAGTAGGGCTGTCAGAGGGCAAAGAAATGCGTAAGGAGAGGAAATGACACAGACAAATTTTAAGGGATAAGGGAGCTCTAATTATAGCGCCAGAATGTCCCCTTCTTTTTTTAATATATTTTTATTGGTTTCAGAGAGGACGGGAGAGGGAGAGATAGAAACATCAATGATGCGAGAGAATCGCCTCCTGCACGCCCCCCACTGGGGATGGAGCCCGCAACCGGGCATGTGCCCTGACCGGGAATCGAACTGTGACCACCTGGTTCATGGGTCAACGCTCAGCCACTGAGCCCCGCCGGCCGAGCTGAGTGTCCCCTCTCACGGTGGTTCCCATGTGCCTGCCTTTCAGCGGCGGTTGGCTTGGTCGCCGGAGGGCTGGTGCTGCTGCTGCCAGAGACCGGAGGGCAGACGCTGCCGGAGACGATCGAGGAGGTGGAGAACTTGTGGAGGTACGAGCTGACCTTCCCCAATGCACTGCTTCCTACGTGCTCTTGGCCAGCTCTGGGCCAGTGGAAGGAAAGATGAGGGAGGATGTAGACCTTACACCACACAGAGAGATCCATTCGCACAGAATCAGACCTGAGAGTACAGAAAAGGAACCGTAAAGTAAGAAAGATACTGCGGGAGAACCCCTTCTGCTTTCCCAGTGCGGAGGGCCTTGTAAATACGACCCGAACGCCGGGACCCACTTAAAAAAGATCCATGAGCTTGCCCTCATGAGAATTAAAATTCTGCTTGGAAAAACGACTCGAAGCTTAAATAATATCGCAACCGTAGAGAAAACATGCACTCCTCCACGAAGGGTTAACGTCCCCAGCGTGGAAAGAGCTCTGACCATTCATAAAAGCAACCACCCAACAGGAAAACGTGAGCAAAGGGTTTGAACAGAGAATTCTGCGAACACAAAAACGGCTCTGAAATATACAGCGATGAGCTCGACCTCCTTCCGAGTAAGAGAAGGGTAGACACTCCCTGCTCGGACAGCCGCTGGGATGGCGGGTGATCGCACCGCTGGGGGACATCCGTGTCAGGAGAGAACGGGGAGACAGGGGCCTACATTCCAGATTGGGAACCTCTCCGATGGGCGATATGACAATAGGATAAAGATTGCAAAGGTGCATATCCTTTTACCTGGCAACGCCACACTTCCAGAATTTACATATGCAAAACATATGTGCAAGACGATTCTTTAAGGTAATTTTTCTTAATATAACAAAAGACTGGAAACAACCCAAATGCCTGTTGAGTGGGAGACAGTTATATAAATTATAGTATGTGATTCAACAGAATATCATATGGCCCTTAAAAAGAAAGCAGCAGCCCTAGCCGATTGCTCAGTGGTTAGAGCACCAGCCTGCAGACTGAAGGGCCGCGGGTTCAATTCCAGTCAAAGGCGGGAGGCAACCGGTTGATGTGTCTCTCTCCCATAGATGCTACTCTCTCTCTCTCCCCCTGCCTTCCATTCTCTCTCTTAAAAAAATCAATGGACCACTGAGCCGTCAAGAAAGGGCAAAGGAAAAACACCGCTTTTGGGTGAAGCAGCAGCGTGCTGTGCTGCTTTGCTTCAATCGGTGGTGTGACAGGTGTTAAAAAAAGAAAAAAAAATCAACGGAAAAAATATCCTCAGGTGAGGATTAACAACAAAAACAAAAAAGAATGAACCCGCTTTATATGCACTATGTAATGGGTAGGGGTAGGTCTTCTAAGACGCATTTTTTAATGGAAAAACACGCGCAAACAGTTTTAACGTTTTGTGGGGGAAGAGGGGGGAACATACATATGCCTGAAGTAATATATGCATATTTGTCTTGTGTCTCTTGAAGGCTTTCCGAGCACCGTGACACGGGCTGCCGTGGACTGGGGGCTGTGGGTCCCAGGTGGGAGGAGACTTTCGATGCATGCTTTTTTTTTCCAGAGAGGAAGAGGGAGAGAGAGAAAAACATCAACCATGAGAGAGAATCATGGATCGGCTGCCTCCTGCATGCCCCACCCTGGGGATCAAGCCCCCAATCTGGGCATGTGCCCTGACCAGGAATCGAGCTGTGACCTCCAGGGTCATAGATCGACGCTCAATCTTTATCTGGCTGGGCTCAATGCATACTTTTTGGTACTTTCTGGATGTTGAACCACACAAACCTATTTAAAAAGTAAACTTTTTTAAAAATTTAAGAGAAATGTAGATGGCATATGCCCCACAAGTTTGCGTTGTGCCGTATGCTTCGATATTTCTATTATCTTATCCAGACTCCATGTGGGGCCCCTGGGGCCAAGTCTGCCCATCCTACAAAGCGTGCACTTGAACACCTTCAGGACGGAGCCATCCTGAGGCCTCGCAGTGCCCGGACTCCTGGAGCTTGGAGCTCAGAGTTGGACGAGGCCTTTGAATTCAGCCAGAGGTCGCACTGGCAGCCGCAGGATGCCAGCGTCTCAGCGCTTAGGTTGGCCCGCGCTGGCTTTTAGGGGGAAATTGCACATCCACTGAATTTCCAGCATCTGGTAACATAAATAAACAAGCAGAGGATTGGGTAACGCTGAGAAGGCATTTCCTCTCATTGACAAATTGCAGGAGCTGAGTGACGGCTCCGCTTTTTGGAGGGCATGTCCTTCACCCCCCCACCAGCCCCCCGTACCCCACACTCCCGCATGCCCTGTTCTCTAGTGCCTGGTGCATGGAGACATTGCAGCTTGAGGTCCTGGATCCAGATGTCCGTCCCCGTCCCCCGATCTCAGTGCAGTGTCCCATGCACATGAGCACCCCCCCCCCCGACCCTGAGGACAGACGGTATCCCGTGCAATGTCCTATCCGAAAGCCAGCACCGAGCAGGTGCGCACCAGGTCGCCTGCAGTACATGCTGAGCTCCTCCCACAGTGCTCCTCCCTGAGGCCCCGGGCATTCCCCAGCCGCCCGTCAGGAGGGAGGCGTGGCCATCAGGCCAGGCCCTCGCTCTTCCTTCCACGTGGCCTTAACTCCAAGCCTCGGTTTCCCCATCTGGAAGTGGGGACATCAGTTCCTGACCTGGGTTTCTGTAAGGACCAGACGAGAAAGCCATGCAACGTGCCTGGCACTTCGTACGTGTCTAGTAACCGCTGTTGGTATTCACAAAGTCCTCACAGCTGTCCCATAGAACAGAAAAGGGGGGCCTAGGTGTTTCATGGGAAACCGACTTTTAAAGTATGTTCTGCATAGTGCGAGACAGGAAAGTACAGCTCAGGGATGTACACATATACACACACCAAATCTCAAGGCCGCTACCAACAGGAACATGTCGAGAGAGCATGTCTGTGCGCAACAAAATGAAGAAAACAGCTTTCCCACGAGAATCAGCAACACCCTGGTATCCACAGACAGGATGGTTCAGACACGTGCAATTCAAACAAATTTTTGAACAGATTTTCCTCTCCCCTCTCCAACTGCTGAAAAGTAAATGAACTTTGGTAAAAAATAATTCTCACATCCTATTTGGAGAACTGATGACAACGGTGTCTAGGTTTTGCAATCTTCATTTTTAACTGAAAAGGATTCGATTTAGACATTTCCCACATTCCTGGTTACGGAGGAGGGTAGAGCACCTTCAGTAATGGGTCAGGCCCGCCTCAGGCTTGCACGGAGTTCAGGGAGCCCTCCAGCCACACCAGCTGTTCACCGAACTCAGCGAATTTCCTTAGTGAGGATGGCCGCCCGGAACTCCCTTCGGGACTCATGCTGGGCGAGCCTGCCCGGTTCCTGTTGTATTTATCACCCCCTTCACTTTGGTACCCAGCCTCCTCATGATTTCCCTCTCCCCTCTCCGACTCTGTTTTTCAGACCAAGAAGAAACAAAGAAAAGAAGATTTACCTCCCAGTCAAGAAACAAGACATCCCCCTAAAGTGAGAGACCCGCGATGGACTCGCTTTGACAACACCAGGCTGGAATCAGAGAGTCCTGCTCTCATCCCAAAGCCCAGACACCCCACCCTTCCTTCTCTTTGAACCCCATTAACCCAGACCTACGGCCCAGGGGAGCTGCTGCACGACGGTATCACAATCCACCTGTGGGACCAGATCCTGCAACCCCCCAGCTCACCCCTCCCCAGCTTTCCTCGGACAATAGCCTTGGGTTTGCGGGGATTTTTATTCCATCTCCGTATTTCCTTATTTTATTCCATTCTTCACATGGGCATCAAATCAAGACACATAGGCGGGTTGTGAACCAGATAAACAGAAAAGATCTAAAAAGCATAAAAATTGGGAGCAGAGAG